TACTTTTAACCACGCTAACTCTGAGAGACGAAGCAGTCCAAGTAACTTCAAAACAGTGCTGATTTATTCAGTGAACACAGGTAAAAATTAACATTACACGCTCAGGTATCTTGCACCTCCAACATGCACGCAGGCAGCTGAAAGATGAAAGACCCTGAACCACAACAGGCCTATACATTATATCACTTCGGGCTAGCCCCCTTCTGCACAGAGACATGCCAAGCTGTGACGTCTCCCGGTGCCAGCTTTGCAGCTGGCCAGAGCAGTAGTCAAAGCATCAAGAAAAATCAATGTGTGATTGTCTGTTGATTGAGTGGTGTGTAGCTAAAACATTCTAACACGACCTCTAGTGACATGTCATGACATTACACATAAGAAAATATTATGGCTATGGCTACAGTTATACACGTCATAATAACAATATTAAACATCCTGTCTTCCAACAGTCATCAACTTTCTATCTAGTTATCCTTGACCATAAGCAACCTGCAGTAACTCGTGAGAATGACTAAGCATTTAACAGCCTGAGCTAGACATCCTGTCTACACTAAATATTTCTAATACATCAAGTATCTAACCAATATCTATCTGACTAAAAATACCTAACACTATAATTAAACCACAGATGAGCAGTGTACAGGGAGGTACAGTACGCTCTAAACAAAGTCAATTTTACTCCATCCGAGCATGAACCAAATTTCCAAACCAACATATTTGCTTGTGCATACAACATGCAGCACTGCCGATACATATCCCCATCATCAAACAAGCAATCATTTATAACATGACCCAAGTACTTAACTTCATTACACACAGTTAAAATGTTACCAGATAACTTAAAAAAAGGGAATGAAAGGGACCTATCCTCTTTTGTGCAGCATATCATAATAACACTTTTAGCAGAATTGTACTTGACATTGTGAAGCTCCCCAAACAGATAACATACATTCAAGAGCTGCTGGAGACCTGCTGAGCTAGGACTAAAGATTATCAGATCATCTGCATACATTAAGTGATTCACTATTATACCTCCAACCATACATCCCATTCTACACATATTTAGCCCCTTAGAGAGACCATTCATATGAAAATTAAACAAAATCGGGGACAACAGACTATCTTGTCTTACACCGTTACAGGTCTGAAAGGGTGCAGCTATACAATTATCCCATCTGACTCACATAGTCTGGTGGGCATACCAATATGACAAGCATCTCACGATATATTTAGGCACTCGAGCGTCACACAATTTCTGGAATAACTTCTTAAGATTCACACGATCAAAAGCTTTAGAAGCGTCTAAAAAAACACATAAATACTGTAGAATTTTTTCTTTCAAAGCAAAAATACACATATCGGTGCCATGATTGACTTTAAACCCAAATTGATTATCAGTAGAGCCATTATGAAACCTACTCAAGAGAATTTCTTCAACAACTTTAGAAAGTATGTTAGCAAGTGTAATGGGTCTATAATTATCTGCCAGGTCCGCTCGACGCGACCTGCCTCTCTTCCGCCTTTCTCTCCTCTGCTCTCTCGATCCTGTGGGATCTGCACCTCAGCTGTGTTGCATTTCAGTAATTAGTGACTCATTTGTCGGTGTGCAAAGCTGGGGTGTATCCCAATGATTACCTTCCTCCTTATTTATACCTCTGGCAGATGCTCTGTTGTTGCTGGAGCATTAACTTACCAAACTTGCATACCCTGTAACAGACCTATACTTGTGGTATGTATCGTAGGTCATTTTGTTTTCCACACTGACAGTTCCTGTGCTGTGGATTTTCCTTTTTCGTTAGCTAATCCTCCTGGGTAGTTTTTTTTTCACCTGTCCTCATCCTCGCTCTCTTTTTTTTCTTTTTTGCTGTTAGCCTGTTTACTCCCCTGGTCATCCTGTTCTCCTTAACCGTATTTGCTCACCCCTGGTTGTATGTATTCATTTGACTCTGTTCCTTTCTTTATCTCCACCATTAAAACCACCTTTTTTTTATATATATAAACTAGCACCCGGGTCAGCCATCTTGAGTCCTGCCTCAGTTCTCCCTCACCCTCCTGGTGAGGGGGACTAAACCCTAACAAACTATGCAAATGTCTCCAATAGCTGAACTAAAATGGCTTTTCTGAAGAGAACACGCTCAGTTGTTGAGCGGGGTATTGACCAGCTGAAGAGGAGGTTTCACGTGTTGCATGGAGAAGTACGCCTGTCACCAGCTAAGGTCTGAAAAGTCATTATGGCCTGTGCAGTGCTTCACAACATCTGCAAAGCATGACAAATCCCAGAACCTCTCAAAAGCAGCCATGGTAATGGCGATGAAGATGGTGTTGAAGATGATGAAGACATTCAGTTTACCCAGTGCAGAGACATGTCACAGAGCTCAATTTACAAATTTGCATTTTCAGTAGGTAGCAGTTGATGTCATATCCAAACTGGTGTCTGTAGCCTATTGAACAAACCTTCCAACTGTAGTTGAACACAAATAAAGACCACATGACCATGATACACTTTGTATTTTTCATTCATCTTAGATTTTATTAGCTTGATTTTTAACTTATAATACTCCTCCTGTAAACAGAGAACTTTTTTGTGCCGTGTGAGGGTATCAATTTCAATTTCCAATTTTCTGTTCAACAGGGATGGTGTTGGGGTTGCTGCAGCAGGCGGGCTAATCTGATACACCGGCTAAGGGTTGAACACCTGCGGCGTTGACGGCCCCAGTTCCTCTGACTGCTCCATGCTGCAGAAAATGTGGAATACAATGTTTTGATTTATTGTTTTGTTTGTTGTTCACATGCAAGAGCACAAAACATGGCACATTGTCTGTATATTAAACAGCACTTGTTCTTGATATTTCTCTTTATTTGCCTATTGACTACTTGTCCCACCTTTGTTGTAATCCCATTAGCTGGATCATGGAGCTGTCTGTGCCTTCCTTCAGCCCAGTGACAGATGTTTCAGAGTGTCCAAGTACAGTACATTAAATACTGTTTCCGCTACCTGAGACAGTTGTTTAGCAGGTGGTCCTCCACCTAAAAACACAGTAGCTTAGGTGTATAGTTCTGTAAGCATATTTAACCAAGCAAGCTATAGTAAGAAACTGCAATATCACAGCTTGAAGAATCCTGTTTGTGTGCTGCAATCTCCCTCCTGGCTTGTGACTGCAACACATACCATCGCTTTTCACATTCCTTGCTGGTGCGCACGACCAGAAGGAATGAGGAGTTTATTTGCTGAGATATTTTATCCCAGGTCTGCCTCTTTCCTTGAGCTGTGACACCAGAACCAAATTTGCCTTTTAAAATTGCTTTATTTTATTCCACTAACTGAGCTAAAAGTAAACACTGCTCTTCTGTCCAATTTGGTTTCCTTGTTTTCTTACTTCCATCCATCTCTCTTCAATTGTTGGCTACATATCATCCAAAGGTACAACTTACATAAACTATCCTGCAATCATGTAAATTGGTAAAAGGTGTGCCAATTTGCTAGAATCTGAAATGGCTTGCAAGTACTAAAATCAGTATGGTAAATAAAGGTAAGAACTTATAGTAACTACTGCATGGAAATTAATTGGTTCAAAAGTGGACACATTTTCAACATTTAGCAATTTTAATTAACTTTAAGATATTTAGCCTATAACAGAAACTTTGCATAAAGTAGCCTGTATTCATGATTATATATATATATTTTTTATATAC